ATAGTAACTTCATCAAGAGCTTCACCGTTTCCCTTCTCAAAACTGAGTAGAGTTTCCTCTTCGACGGTGGCTTCTTCAGGTGTCACGTCTTCAGCAGCGTCATTTGTTCTGTGGTCCACTTTATCCAAACTGAAATGTCCTGGACCATGATAACGCCAAAGCCTGTTGGCATGCACCACTTTTGGTTTACCTCGCCGACCACATTTTACCCGGAAAGTCACGTCTGAGAGACGATCCACTATGTCATATGGGCCTTCCCATGGAGAAGACAACTTAGGAGACTTCCCTTTGGTCTTCCTGGGATTATACAACCACACTTTGTCTCCTGGTGCAAAGATGACTTCAGTAGATCTCTTATCATAAGTTAACTTCATCGAATCAGCAGACGTTTTCAAGTTTGAACGCACTTGATGGTGAATATCACCCATCCTTTCCGATAACACTTTCACAAATGCAGACACATTCTCAGGCAACTCTTCATAAGGTGGGCGTCCATTATGCTTGGGTCCCCTTTTTGCACTACATGTACTGCATGTCCGGCACCATTCTTCCGGCACCAATGCTTCTAATATAGATACCTTTGTTTCATTGGATGTAGTAAGAAGAAAATGTCTTTTTCCATAACATAACATTGAAATAGATGATAAATAAATTATGTTCTAACATCCATCAGAAGTTAAGGTCTGGCATAGCCTGGTGGTTAGGGCGCTCGATTTACAATCTGCGGTTGTGGGATCGAATCCCCATCACCGAACATGCTCGCCCTCTTAGCCATGGGAGTGTTATAACCTGATGGTCAATCCTACTATTAGCTGATAAAATAGTAGCACAAGAGTTGGAAGTGGGTGTCCTTCACTTTAGTCTATCACTCCTAAATTAGGAACGGCTAGCACAGATAGCCCTCGAGTAGTTTTTCGCGAAATTCAAAAGAAAAACAAAAATGTTTGAAATTTACAGAGTTTTTGACCCTGTTTTAAACTTTGGAAATTTTTACGAGTGTTGCACCTTTCTTATCTTCGAGTGGAACAAACAAATAATATGTAGAAAATACCTTAATATACCTGACTGAATACTTAAATTGATTGTTACAGTGATTTAAATTAGAGAGTCCACCAAACCAATCTGCTATTGTTCATTGATTCCCAAAACAATCACTCGGTTTGTTGAAAATTTGTATCTTACTGGTTTTTGAAGTGTGTATGTATCCTGACAACTTAAAAGCGTTTGATTTAAAGTGATGCATTTACTCGATCCTTTTTTGCTTATAAACAAAGCTGTACTTCACCATAACTAGCAGGGTGTGTAGGATTATAACAAATAAATTGTAACGCTTGATCTACATCAAATATTATATACTTTATAATGGATCTGAATAGTTGAAACCACTTACTTTTATTCAGTTTACCACCAGTTCTATCTCTAACAGTAGTATTAATTTATCTGTTACAACAAACGAGATTAATTATTACTCTATTCAAAATGTTACAAAAGGTTGATTAAGAACAATCCACGATGACATTCAAGATGCAAAAGAACAAATAATGCGTTGATATTTTATTGAAAATAAGCCCAGTTAGACATAAGACATTTGGGTTTTGCTCTTTGAGTTATTGCTTGATCTATGTGCTTCGTATAATACCATCTATCGCTGTTCCTCGTGAGTTTTTGCTAAATACTCATATCTGATAATCGTACTACATATTTGTTACACTCAGTAGGGTTAAATTCTTTTATTTATGTTGTACATCTTAATAGGGTGAATATATTACTGTCCAACACATATCTTCCGCTAATAATTAATTCTTCTCGACCATTTCATGACAGAACACTACTGGAGCTGATCTTGTTTAAATATATTTCAGCATTTTTTTTACAGTTCCGAGGAACGTGGTCTACGCTATCTACATTCTCAAGAGCTAACGAATTCATTTTGACTGAGTTCCGTGGCTTGTGAGTGAAAGGTTTGATGACGTTGCTGCAACTGATTTAAAATATTTGCTTTATCATCTATGATATATGGTATGAGTTTGTTTTTTACTTGAAAATATAATTACAAATTCTCTCAACGATCTAACGTTTTCTACTTCAAAGTGCATATTCTACAGAAAAACATAGAAGTTGTGATAACTCATCGAATGACAAAACATTAAATGATCAATGTTGATACTTATTTCACTCGGTCTCTATGATAAAAATCTGAAAAAGTTTACATATAAGATGTATAAATTCTACAGTAAGACATTTATTAATTTTACTTTATATGGTTCAAACAGTAATATCAAAGTTTGAATATTTTACATATAAAGTGACAGCAATCAGCCCATTTCAGGTCCACATATATTGTAGATTAAATTAATGTATGAATATCAACATATTGCAGATTTAGAGATTTTAATTCTTTAAGTTAACACGAAAACAATAGCCCTTTTCAGGATTATGTATTTCTCATATCAGCTAGTACTTAAATACTTATGAAATATGGTATACAAGCTAGTCAATCTGTGATATATGAAATACAGTGCCTTGCAAAAGTATTCAACCTACAAATAATGCTACATTTTGATTAAATACAACCAATGTAAACAATTTTTTTAATGAACTTATTTTTATTCAAAACTCTAATGATCAAACTTAACACTGTTATATGTGAAGGAGGTTGAATGTCAGCAAATCCTGCAAAGAAAATACATATAAACTGAAATTTGCTGATTGCATAAGTAATCAGCCCCCTAATTCAGGAAGCACCTTTGGCAGCAATTATTACTGTGAGTTTATTTGGATAGGTCTCTACCAGCTTTGTACAATGGGATAGTGTAATTTTTGCCCATTCTTCCTGGCAAAATTACTCAAGTTCTGACAAGTTCGTTGGGAATCGTTGATGGACTGCAATCTTCTAGTCTCACCATACATTTTCTATTGGATTCAAGTCAGGACTCCAGGACATCCACTTTTATCTTTTGAAACCACTCCAGTGTGGCTTTGGCCTTGTCCTGCTAAAATGTAAATTTTCGACCCAGTTTTATATTCCTGGCTGACTCAAGTAGGTGTTCCTCTAGAATTCGCCATCCATTGCCCCCTCAATCCTGACAAGCTTTCCAGTCCCTGCTGATGAGAAGCATCTCCATAACACGATGCTGCCACCACCATGATTGACAGTTGGGATTTGTTGACTGGGTGATGTGATGTGTTGGGCTTACACCAGGTGTATCGCTTTGAATTGAAACCAAAAAGCTCAATTTTTGTCACAATTTGATCACAAAACCTTCTGCCACATATCTACAGCATCATTTACATGCTTTGTCGCAAACTCCGTACGAGATTTAAGATG